CATCTTGTTGTCGGCTGCCCTTCCTCTACACTGAAGCCAGATCTGGGATCTGATCATGTGACCAGGACAGCTTCAGAATAGGCTTCTTTTCTTTCACAGGGTATATATAATAGTCTTAGAATAGGCTTCAATAAAGAGGGATCACTGCTAATGGCTGCAAATGCCTGTGCGGTGATGTCACTCATAGGCTTACTATAGGGCATCTGTTGTCGGCTGCCCCTCCTCTACACTGAAGCCAGATCTGGGATCTGATCATGTGACCAGGACAGCTTCAGAATAGGCTTCTTTCCTTTCACAGGGCAAATAGAATAGTCTTAGAATAGGCTTCATTGAAGAGGGATCACTGCCAATGGCTGCAAATGCCTGTGCGGTGATGTCACTCATAGGCTTCCTATAGGGCATCTGTTGCTGGCTGCCCTTCCTCTACACTGAAGCCAGCTCTGGGATCTGATCATGTGACCAAGACAGCTTCAGAATAGGCTTCTTTTCTTTCACAGGGTAGATAGAATAGGCTTCAATAAAGAGGGATCACTGCTGATGGCTGAAAATGCCTGTGCGGTGATGTCACTCATAGACTTACTATAGGGCATCTTGTTGTCGGCTGCCCCTCCTCTACACTGAAGCCAGATCTGGGATCTGATCATGTGACCAGGGCATCTTCAGAATAGGCTTCTTTTCTTTCACAGGGTATATAGAATAGTCTTAGAAAGGGGGTGGTAGTAGGTTTGGCTTTAGTTAGATTTTGAATGAACTTCTACTTTAACAATAAAGTCCTATTTCTTTGTTTGGTTAAAAGATATTTTCTGCTGATTCACTGCACTTGATGGGTTAAAATGCTCCAGTCAGTCTATCTGATAGACTCGTGAATAATTGAGTTTGTTAGAATAACAGTCTTCTCATTGCTGGTGTCTATACCTGCTTCCAGGTATCCTAAGTACTCCAATGCTTTACATTCTACTGCAAGGCAAAGCCTTATCGATCTGTCTGTAATGATCAGTGTACTGCTAGCAGTTAAAAGGTTAATTTTAGATTATTAACTCTGCAGTATTGTAATATCTGATTTTTTTTGGCTTTCAAACTCTGCATGCTGATTGATTTTCTATAGTCTGCTTTTAGTATTGTAGCCAAAAGTCAATTAACAAAAAAACAGTAAAAGCAGCAGAAGAACATTTTCAGCAGGTGCCCAAAATCCATCCAAGATCTGAAACTCTATGCCAAGTGAAACTCCTGCCTGCAGAAAATGTGTTTGCTCTCAGGTAGAGCGGCTCCCAACATTGCAGAGCAAAGAATGAAAAACATTTAATACCAGAGGAAAAAAAAGCTACACGTATTATGCAATCAGTTTTAAGAAAAGTTGAAACAGATTGCCATTACAGAGAAGGTCAAAATAACCCAGCAATTATCCAAGTACGCCTGTTTTACAGTCCACGTTACAGGTGAAGAAGGTGAAGGAAAGGTTTTGTGAATGATTTGTAAGAAAAGTAATTAAAGGACCAATGAAGGTACAATGTTATTTGTCTCTATCACTTTCATATGTCTACAGAAATTAGTAGATCTGTCACACAAGCAGAACGATCACACGACTGTAGAAAAGATAGAAACAGAGTAGCAATTACTTTTACTTTTAGGCTCCATGTACACGGGACATTCGGAAAACACTTCTGAATGATGGCAACTGACTGTTGGAAAACGTAGGTTAAAAAAAGTCTGTTTAGCCGTGTTTGCATACCATGTTTATGAGCGTTTGTGTTTAGAAGAGTTGTTAAAAGATAACCTCAAGAGACCTTCCAAAATGCCCAGAATGCACTGAAAAACAATAAAAAATTAACAATTTCAGACATTTTGAGAGAAATAGAGAGAGCAGAAGCAGAGAGAGCAGTATGTGTTGAGATGACCTGTCTTTTCTGGTTGTATTCACTATGGATCCCATCATGAGCATAATGCAGCACGTTCTACCATTTTTTCCTTCACGCAAAACCTGCAACTGACTACACTGGTGTACCGGGTCCATTTGAATACATGGAAAACGCTTTCCATGCATTTCTGATGATGAAAAAAGGCTCTGGACAACATCTGGATATGGAACAGTTAAAAACGCTTCTAAACGCAAACACTTATAAATGCAGTTAGCCGTGTGTACAAGTGTTTGGTGTTTGAAACGCTGATAAAATCTACTCCTAAACACAAGTTTGGTGCGTTCAAAAAAATGACTGTAAACTCAACTGCCTGTAAACGACTGTAAGTGGCACAGTGTACCTGGACACATAGGAAAACATTAGGGAGAGTTTAGTGGATGCTGCAAATAATGCAGAAAAGCTGAACACGAGTTTATCAGCTGCAATGTGTATGGAGCCTTAAATTCATACTGGTGCTAGAGAATCATGAAGAATCAGAAATTTGGACACATTTTGCAAATCCTAGCTGGATTACAATTCATTTTCTAAAGCTCTGTGTGTTATAAACAATTTTTTTTAAATAAAATACTATTTTTATATTTTAGCACTGCTAATCTCCCTAATCCTCTTTCAGAAGCTTCCTATCTATATGCACTTGCATATCATCTCTGGTCCATGTCTGCGCAATGTGTGCTGATATGGCTGATTGTAGTGATAAGCTTAGTATTCAGTCTGATGAATGTTTAGGGTGCTTGGCAGCTTCTGGCTGGTTAATGGTTGCTAAGGAAGCAGCAGCAGCCACATCCTTGCCAACCACTGATGTCTCCTGCCCTATTCACTTACATGGCCGGGAATTCCTGGCCACGTAAGCAGGTGAGCAGTGATGGACACATATTGCCATATTTCAACAATGATGTCACCACTGTTGCAGCTGTCAATGGTTGCTAAGTAAGCAGGGGATGCTTGCACCCTTTGCGTCCTTATCAACCTCTGACATCACCCGGTCTATTCACTTACATGACTGTTGGACATGCAGAATATCGAGGCTAATACTTACCCCCTAATCCATAAAACCACCACCACCCTTCAACCTTCCCCACCTAAATAAACATGCGACTCTCTTTTGGTGTAAAACTGGCCATAGCATCCATTTATTTAACATAACTCTAACATAACACTTCTTACAGTACACTCAAATAATAACTGACAGTAATAATCCCAACTAAGTCAAAAGTCTTCAAAGGCACTGTTACTCACATCCACAACTCGGCTGTATCTGACCCCCAATGAAAAGGCCCCCAGCCGCTACTGCACCGCCTCGGGGACAATACTACAGTTACGTAGTCCCAGATACAGCCACTGAACTCCCACATTACCAATGTGACCTTATAATTGGGAAGGAACACCCATACCTACGATGTGCCCAACCCATAACCCACCAAATTGTCACTCCAGCACCGCCTTCAAAGACCCATTGACCCCTGCCGCCTGCCATGACAAAACAAAACAGACAAACACCCCAGGACACAAATGCCTGCCAGACAAGAAACAAACTCAAGGAACCCACACAAAAACAAACAACAGGACAAACACAAAGAACAAACCATAACCAAAACAGCAAAACAAAACATGAAAAGCTCCAGGGAGGGAGGGCGGGAGAAACCACCCCCCAAAGCTCCGACTGACCTCCGACAAGACCCATCCCACCTCCTAATCCTGGTAAGACCACCCCTCAAGGTTGTGTACTTCAATCAGGTGAGTAACCACCCCCTTACCTCCTGCATATACTCCCACCCAAATGCACGCTCCGCCTCGTCTGCACGCCCCAGTTATGTTGGCCCTCCCTTTTTAGCTTTGCTCAGTCCAGGCCCTGACCTGACCGGGAATCCCTGGACATGTAAGCAGATGGCTGGGGAATGGAGCCTTACATCATTGCATAAATATGACCACTTGGGCATATTTGGACAATGGTGTCACCACTATACCCATCCCTACATTTGGATTTAAGGGATTTGTCATTCAGCTAATGTTATTAGTGAGGATCAGTTGTGTGCATTGGGGTTTTTTTCAGCGAAGTTGATGGCAGTGGACATCATGACTGATGATAGATTTATGATGAAGGGTTTTTTTTTTGGAGATCTTTATTTTTTTTAATAAAGGACTTGTCGAATGGTTGGGTGTATAGTTGCCATTTTCTGGTTTTGTCAGGTGATAGAAGAAATTTAAAAATGCACATCAATGGCTTGGATTTGCTGCCTGACAGTACTTATGTGAAAAGGGTCTAACACTAAGTTTATAGTTGCAGTTTGAGGGCAGTAAAAACAGGCAGGTGAGTCACATTTTACTGTCCCCCTTAAGCTGCAAAGGCAGGTAGAGGGGGTTTATATTTGCCATGGGTGCAATGCTTTGCTTCCTAGCACGGCAAGAATTATACCCCCTTGTGTCCGGTGGGCAATAATGTACTCTGAATGCGACCCAACCCCCCTGCAACCATGTGCAATGCATATGGTTGGAATGGTGCAGGCTTTTCTGTGTTAAAGCAAGCAGTGAGGGGGCAACATCATGCCTCCTAGCTGTCTGACAAGAGCCCTTTTAACCACTTGCCTACAGGGCACTTATACCCCCTTCCTGCCCAGGCCAATTTCCAGCTTTCAGCGCTGTCACACTTTGAATGACAATTGCGCGGTCATGCAACACTGTACCAATATGAAATGGTTATCATTTTTTTTAGACAGATAGAGCTTTCTTTTGGTGGTATTTAATCACCTCTGGGATTTTTATTTTTTCTTAAACAAACCAAAAACCACAGAAAATTTTGAAAAAAAAAAAGTTTTTTCTTAGTTTTTGTTATACAATTTTGTAAATAAGTGATTTTTCTCCTTCACTGATGTGCGCTAATGAGGCTGCGGTGATGGGCACTGATAGGCTGCACTGATGGACACTGATAGGTGGTACTGATGGGCACTGATGAGGAGGCACTGGTAGGTTGCACTGATGGGCATTGACAGGCATCACTGATGGGCACTGAAAGGCAGCACTGATACATGACACTGATATATGGCACTGATAGGCGGCACTGACTGGCACTATTAGGCAGCACTGACTGGCACTGTTAGGCGGCACTGACTGGCACTGATAGGCGGCACTGATATGCAACACTGACTGGCACTGATAGATGGCACTGATTGGCAGCACTGATAGGTGGTACTGATTGGCATTGATAGGTGGCACTGACTGGCACTGATGGGTGACATTGAAAGGCAGCTCAGATGGGCACTGATATGTGGCATTGATGTGCACTGGTAGACACTGATATGTGGCATTGATGTGGCACTGATGGGCACTGGCACTGATGAGCACTGACTCCTGGCACTGATGGACACTGACAAGTGGCACTTCTGGGGCCACACTGATCATCAGGGCACACTGATCATCAGTGCCCTGATGATCAGTGTACATGTCCCCTCCGCAGAAAGCCGATTACCGGCTCTCCTCACCTCTCGAGCTGTCAGCCTGACAGCTCGAGAGGAGAGAAATGCCGATAACCGGCATTTCCGTGTTTACATGTGATCAGCTGTGATTGGACACAGCTGATCACATGACCGAGCCGACATCTTCGGCTCTTTCCGTGATCCGCTGTGTCCGAGGGACACAGCGCACCGGCGATCGCCGCGCTGCGTGTGCTCCCTGAGCCGCGCATGCACGGTAAGAATGGAAGGACGTCATATGACATCCTATCAGAACGAGAGAACCACCTTGCGCCCGTCATTGTACTATATGGTGGGCGGAAGGTGGTTAAAGTGATGCATCGTGGATCGCTCCTCAGAGAAAAATGTTAAATGATGCGGACACTGCAGCTTTCCTCATTAGAACACTGACTGCTCAGGTGGTTATAATGAACACAAACCTACCTGCAAAGGATATGGCGAAGAGCAGAGAGCAATGACTATCAGCCACTGACTCCCTTCTCTGCCCCTCCATTGTTCACTGGAGCATCGGGCTGGGGAGGGAGCAGGAGCAGCTGGCTCAGGCTCTGAGCAGCGTATTTGAAGGCCGAGGCAGCTGCTGATCAGGCATCTGGGTGGATCCCGACATTCGCTTTGACCATGGTTCTCTTATAACATTTTAATGTAACTTAAAAAATAATTTTCAATATTTATTAAAAATAGAACGTGGCAATCCTGCTATAAAGGTCCTTGTTCAGGTACTTACTGCTATATTGTGACAACACTTTGACCCTATCTTCCAATTTTGCTCCTTTTGATGAGTGAAACTACTATCAATATTGTAGAAAATTCTGTCAGTTATCATGTATTTGGCTTTACGGAGAATAAGAAAATAATTACAGTTAAAAATAATAATTTAAATCAATACGTTAATGCACTGTACTCCAAAACACTTTCCATATAAATAGATATTTTCTGGCCAGTAGATTATTCCACTTTTATTCAGTATGAACAAAAAAATAAACAGTTGAAAGCAATAGAAAACAACTCTGAAAAGGTCAGTTTTTCTTAGATTTGAGTGGAATGTCAGTGGGAGGAATAGTGCACCATCGTGGTAGTCAGTGGGCAGGAATAGTGCCCCATGAGCGATTATATGGATCAAACAATTAGACTCAGTAACATAACAACAGCCTTAGTAGCCCACGCAGCAGCTATGGGGCTTGGATAGAAGGAGAGACCCATTAGGGAGGCTGTTAAGGTAAGCTAACCTGTCAGGTTTCCAGTGTAGAAGAGCCCACACCACAGATCTTTGCTAGTCGCAGATATACCCTTGTGCAGGGGTGGATAACTGTGGCCCTCCAACTGTTGTAGAACTACAAGTCCCACCATTCTTATGCCTCTGGGAGTCATGATTTAAACTGTCAGTCTTGCAGTGCTTCATGGGATATGTAGTTCAACAGCAGCTGGAGGGCCGCAGTTGCCCTTGTGCATTAAGAAGTTTACTTAGATGTCCTAGCAGCTACGTAAATTTGACTTAATTTATTCTTTGCCCTCTCAACTGCTACAGACCAAAATTAACCCTGTATGACTAGTGCAGGCAAAAATCCAAGAGTTTCTTTTCAACAAAAATCTTATAGAAGAGCTGAGGTTTGTAGCTCTACAAAAAAGTTAGAAGAAGATAGAGTATAAAAAAATTTGTATAAAGGTTAGAAAGTAATTTTGTCATCATATGACATATTATTATGCTTACCATTATTATTGAAGCCCTGGTCTGAGACGCTCCCCAGCCACAACCACCCAGACTGGGTTGTGACAATTTGGACAGCTGTCCACATACAGCCATCCCAGCTGCAACAATTGTGATATCTCTCTACAAAGACACTGTGATTAGCTGCAGTGCAGCCTGGGAAAGAAAGAACCAGCCCAGGGAACGGTAAAAGGCTGCTTGTAGGCAAGTGTAGGTTGACCTTCCTACAAAGGTGGTGCTGTCCGCAACCACCATGCATGGAGAGTAGAAGACAGGAGGAACTCATGTTCCTCTTAGGCCTCCGTAAGCATCATCAGCTGTCTGATTGGACTTTGTTGCCCTGGATGACCTTTGTGGTTATATTTAGTGAGGGGTGGCACTTATAAAAAGCACTGGCTCACTGCCATTGGTGAACATTTTGCATGTGGTTAGGATAGGGACAGGAACCCACTGGATAGGGAGAGTGTGTATAGCATAGGGAAAGTTTTCAGAGAAAGAGGGACAGTATAGGGACTGTTTGGTAGCACTGTTGTGTGGAACCTTTCCACTTCTAGTGCCTCGATGCCAGGGGTGGACTGACAACTCATGGGGCCCCCGGGCAATAGGGGATCATGGGGCCCCTGTGTCCTTGCCCAAACTCAAAAAAGCCTATGAAAAAGGTACCAAGGGCATCTCATGGGGCCCCCTACTGACCTCGGGCCCTCAGGCAGTGCCTGAGTTTCCAAATGGTCAGTCCGCCCCTGCTCGATGCACACTGCCTCCTGTGACAGGTGATGTCGGTCCTCAAGCATCACTCTCTGCAAGTAATGCATAATCGTCGGTGTTTATGCCAGTTTGAAGCCTCTTCATAAACTCTGATACAGCGCTGATGGAACATTCTTGACAATACACCTCCTTGAATCCCAGACCTACATGTGTCATTCCTTCCTTCTTGTGTGCCTATCACATTACCTCATTCCCATCTACATGTCGGGAGCCACCTGTGATGGGCCGCTTGGCACGCTGCCTGGATGCGTCTGCTAGAGAGCTGCTTCCTTGCCACTGGAACACAGGAACAAGGTATTATAACTGGGAATTTCAACCAAGAACTAGACAACACTAGCTTAGGCGCAAACAGGAACTCCTTTATTGAACAGAAATACAGGTTTTTATACACTTCAAAAATAGGGGCAGTCACCACATGAACAATAAAAACAAATATTACACATTGAGGTAACAAGGTAAAGTTGACACAAGACTAATCACATCAGGAGGATTAGCAAACAGAAACAATAGATTACTTAATTAACTCAATTAACAATAGGAGAAAGAGACTTAACAGTAGACACATAACATCTTAATAAACAGATTGCACATAACAAGCAGAAGACCTCAGCATCAGGTTGTTTTGAGCTGATTATATTAACATCTGCTCTGAGTCTAGAAGGGGATTGAGGCAGTCAATGCTGATTTGAGGCCCCAAATCTGTATCTGGGTCTTCCAGTTCTCAGAGTCTGTGTGTTTCAGGGAGACATGGATTTGAATCCAAAGTAAAACTACTCCAAAAGGTCCCCCAGGCACACACCTCCCAAAGAATAGAATGAATGCCAGGGCCCATGGTCAGTAGACAAGAGGCTAGCCTGCAGTCCCCTCCAAAAGACACCTCTCTTTCTTGGATCTACATCCTGGTTGGGATGTAGTCCTCAGGAGACAGCCTATATTAAGTACTCTATGTAACAAGTCCTAGGAGTGATGGTGTGCTGTGAGAGGAGGAAAAGGGAAGGAGAAGCCTGGACTGGGGAAGTCTGATGAGGGGGACTGAGAGGTGACAGTTGGAGTGTCCCGAGTCAGAGATGCTGCTTGTTACCAGAGTTTTGCCATGATGTTGGACTAGGACTGTGTTGCCACATTTGCTCAGAGGCCACTGCCATCAGAGAGTTCCAGCAAGCTGGAAGAGGGGGCAATACTGACTTCATAAGACATTGTCACTATAGCATCCAGAGTATGGGTTTGGTCCCCCCTAAACTTTCAAGGGACCAGACATCAGAGAACAGGAGTCTTCACAACAGACTGCATATTGGTTAAAGACCTCTGGCTGCAACTTATTACCTTCCTTTTAAGGAGGCAGAGCCACCCTAAAATGGGACTTAATGTGGGTATTTATACACTTTACCGTGGGATTTGCTTGGGCGCTCCAACACAGAACTCTAGGCACCAACATTTAGTACTAGATTTTGGATTTGGGGCCAGAAATACTTAGTCCTCGTATTGTCTTTTTTGTATTGTGGAAATTTGTTTTTTAGATGTATAGCCTGAATACAATATTGGAAGCAAATAGGTGATATTATTTAAGTGGCTAATGGCAGGCTGATACTTTGTTCAGTAGGCAGATAACATAATATTTATTATTATTATACAGGATTTATATATCGCCAACGATTTGCGCAGCACTTTACAATATAAGGGAGACAGTACATTTACAATACATTTCAGTACAGAAGTAATAGGAGGGCCCTGCTCATGGAGCTTACAATCTAAAGGAAGGGATAAAAATAGATAAAAAGTTTAAAATTCTCAGCTTTTTAGCCATCATATACTACTGCTGATTATTGCTCATTACACCATGGCTTAATAATTAGATTTTAAGCTCTCAAGAGCACCCTAACCCCCAACCTTCTTGCCTAAAATGTTTTGCAACTGTACTGTATCCCCTTATTTTATAAGGCATATGCAAAGTGCTGGTACTCTATAAATCATGTATATTAATAGTAATAATAATAATAATAATGGTTCATTCTGCTTATACATGTTTACTGGTTCAATTAATTTGCTAAGACCTGACAGCTAAATAATCAACTTTTAATATAGTATTAATTACCTATTTTGTTACATAGTGCTCGAGGGGGGTCTTGAAGTTATCACTATACCTGAAGAATATTCATATTTTGTTGGCCATGATAGCAAACTGTAACAGCATTGCAAAAGCATTTGTTTATAAACATTCCATAGTCACGGTAGACATTTGGGACTGAACTGCACACAAATGTGATCGCTGAGTAACTGTCCTCTTTCTGGGTGCTACTTTTCTGGGTGTCATGCTCTTTTTCCAGATTAGTGCCGGTGCAGCTAGGCACAGAGCAACAATCTTTCTGGCTCAATGAACATTCTAGGGGTTGACCTTTTAGGTATATTGCTGAATAAACTTCGATGGGGTGAAGGGAGCCGTGGGATACTCCAGCAACACTGTACAATAAAAAGAAGACACTCTTCACTTTATCAAAGCTTCTTAGTACAGTCCCTCTAGAAGCAGTTTAGGGAATGAGCAGCACAGAAAGACACAATAAGAAATGTCCCAATCCAATCAAACACTGGCATTGATGTACAAGGAATAATGGCAGCAAACAGTCACGAGGATCCTACACTCAGGTCTGTACTCATTCCTGAATATTTAAAAGCCTCCTTCCAATATCAGCCAGACATTCACCCGTAAGCTCTTCAGACCAGATTCCCAGTGAGACCTCTTGATTAGCTCCAGATATTCTCAGAAATGTAGATCTCCAGCTCTCATTTAGCTGGGACCTTGATGAGTTCCTATACGAACTTCTGCTGGGCTGCCCAGAAGGGCAGTAGCCCTTCAAGCTGGGAACTTCTTCTCCTGGACAAGAACTGGGCAGTGCCAAAGCCTAGACCATTTATGTACCGCCTAGCCACCTACTGGGCACCCACTCCCAGGGATTGGCTGAGGAAAAATAATATTCAGGCTGCCGATCTGCCTTTCCAGCCCACTATATCCTGTGATCCTTCAGAAGACAGGGGATACAATTAAACCTGCAACCAGTGAAGTCCAGAACAGCCCAAAGCAATCACACATTGCTCCCCTGATTACAGAGCAGCCAAAAGAACAAAATTTACCTAAACAACTTAGCATCTTATCTAGGAGGGTGCTACACTATTACCTTGGCTTCTGCGCTTATTTACTTACCAACCTGTAAAAAAGCACATAGTGTCCTGGTGACAACCAAGGATTTCCTTCCTTTGGAAGGATTTCTTCTCACTTCCTCTTTTGGCTGAGACAGGAAGTGAAGAAAATCTCCCCAATGGGACACACAGATGGCAACAAAAGAAAACTGACAACCTTCTCTCTTTCAAAATGGAAAAAAAAGTTTTGACTTTAGTTTTACATTAAGTCCAGCCTCAGCCAGCCAAAATTCCATCCTTCAGTGTGACCATTTTTCAATATTTCAGCAGACCTTGCCCAATGATGACAAGCCCTGCATCCCCCCGGGACCAGTAATCCAGACAGTCTGGCTGGAATCTGCAGGTAGTGTGTTATGCTATTGCTGCAAAGATGCATGCTGCAAGGACAGCATTTTATACCCCGTGGCAGCACATTAACAAAACTGTTCGTTTGCTCGCTCCTCATGCTTCGAAAATCCAAACAATATTTGCACTTTATGGTATGCTGATTGCAGATTTCTGCGATAGATTGAAGCAGAGCTGAGCAAGCTGTGAAGAGATTTGGGAGCGAGCAGACAGCTTCAGTTTGATGGATATCGTCTCTGTTCTTCAAGTGTCTCCCAGCTTCGAGAAATCAGTAGAACAGGTATAATGAAACGCACAGACAGACCCAGGGCTTCAAAACCCAATCTCACAAATGAAACAGAATTCTTTAGCAATTAACATCTGTAACCTCCAAAGTCAACACTCTCCTCCGATAAAATCATTACGATCAAAGAATTTATTCCCCAGGAGGCTTCCTAAGAAAGGAGAATGAGAGTGACTGACAGCGTACTTTGTTCTCTTTACAGTATATAACTTGTTTTTATTCCTTAGTTTTCTTGGACATTTTAAGGAGAACGTCAGACTAGGGTGCCAAGTATAAATTTACTATCAGCAGCCAAAAACATTGCCATGTGTTTCCCCCTCATTTCAACAAAAATATTTCCTTGAGATTATAAATGTATTTATATTATATTAATATATTGATATTATGCATGATATTTACCTGTACTAGCCTCCCTTGTGCACATATCAAAAAGACCTTAGACTGCAGCTGGGTACCAGAATCTTGAATGTGATGTCAGCTACCTCATCAAACTCACAATATAGTATTCCCCTTCTCTCCTTCTCCTGCAGCCTCATTAAAAGTTATGTAGGGAAGTGAAGGGAGGGGCAGAGTTGCTGGGCCAGCACAGACAGTAATTAGACACTCACAGAAGAGGGCTATGGCGCACATGGATCGAGAAGGCTGTGCTAGGGAGCTGACTGTTCCTAAAGTTGTCTAATTTTCTTGCAAATGTACAAAAAATAACAAAACATCCCTAGTTCTCAAAGTATTGCCACAAAATCTCAATGATCTTCAACAGTCACCTGTGTGTCTCCCTCAGACACAACTGATCACATGTCACGGTAAAGGGCCAATCACTGCGGCCATTTACCTCATGATCCGTTGTGTCCAATCACAGCTGATCATAATGTAAACACACTTGCCAGTTATTGGCAGTACTTTCCTCACACTATCACAGCCTGAGGAAAGTACTGCCAATAACCGGCAACTGTGAAAGGAGACATCTACACTGATAATCAGTGCACTGGTTACCAGTACCCTGATTATCAGTGCAGCCCCAACAGTGCCCATCAGTGCTGCCTATCAATGCCAATCAGGGTCCATCAGTACTGCCAATCAGTGCCCAGCAGTGCTGCCAATCAGCGCCCATCAGTGTTGCCAATCAGTTCTCATCAGTGCTGCCAATCTGTACCCATCAGTGTTTCCAGTAAGTGTCCATCAATACTGGCAATCAGTGCTCATCAGTGCTGCCAGTATCAGTGCTGCCTATCAGTGCCCATCATTGCCTCCTATCAGTGCCCATCAGTGCCGCATATCAGTGCAGCCTCATCAGTGCCTCCTTATCAATGACCACCAGTGCTGTCTCATTAGTGTCGCCTCATAAATTCAGCCGCATCAGTGCCCATCAGTGCCGCCTCACCAGTGCCTATCAGTGCTGCCTCACCAGTGCCTATCAGTGCTGCCTATCAGTGCCTGTCAGTGCTGCCTATCAGTGCCCATCAGTGCTGCCTATCAGTGCAGCCTCACCAGCTCATATCAGAAAAGTACCTGTTTGCAAAACTTTATAATAGAAACTAAGGAACGCTTTTTTTTCAATATTTTCGGTCTTTTTTCTCTTTTTTCACCAGTGGTGATTAAGTAACACCAAAGAAAGCTCTAAAAAAAATGATAAAAATTTCATATGGGTACAGTGTTGCATGACCGTGCAATTGTCATTCAAGGTGCGACAGTGCTGCAAGCTGAAAATTGGCCTGGGCAGGAAGGGGTTAAAAGTCCCAGTCAGGCAAGTGGTTAATACATTTTTGGTAATGCACTAATGCACTAGGTGCTTGCACCCTCCTGTGTGCTTTTTTACAGTCATTTGCTTGCAAGTTCAAAAGAACATTGCAAATAAAAAATTGCTTATGTTAAGATTTGAGTTTTTCGTGCTTCTTTAGCTTGGTGACAGGGTTCCTTAAATATGGCTTGTGCCCATCTTGGAAATTCATGGAGATGCGAAGAAGCAGGCAAGCTGCAACCAGGGGTGGACTGACTATTTGGAAACTCGGGCACTGCCCGAGGGCCCGGGGTCAGTAGGGGGCCCCATGAGATGCCCCTGGTACCTTTTTCATAGGCTTTTTTGAGTTTGGGCAAGGACACAGGGGCCCCATGATCCCCTATTGCCCGGGGGCCCCATGAGTTGTCAGTCCGCCCCTGGCTGCAACTTTACACAGAGTATCCTTTGTCTTCATTTTTATTTCCTGCTGTAATCAGACTGCAACTGTGTAGCAGGTCACAAGGTGGGAGGAGGCAGTAGGGGCTGATGTACTGTACATCATATATTTGTGAACTGCACAGGAACCAGAATTTACATGATTTTGTCATTGCTAAGGCAGCCCATAGATGATTTTATTTTCTTTCCTTCCAACGTGGTTGGGAGGAAAGAAAGTCACTCAATGCCCCCCCATCAACACTGAGAGCACTATTGTGTTCTGCCAGCAGGTGGAGGGCGATGAGCCTTCCCAGCAGAACACAATAATTATTGCTAGCAGTTATAGCCACTAACAGTAATTGCATATAGAACTAATAGGCTGGTTGTACCCAAGTCAATCGATGGATCGACTTGGGTACAATCAGCCTGCCCATACATGAATTGAATCTTGGCTGTCCCCGCTGAACCAGCCACTTTTCGATCCATGTATGGTCAGCTTAAGCCAGCATCTAAGTCCAGGATGTAGATACTAAAACTGGATGATGCCTGACCAAAGATGGCTCTGTCTTCCTGGAGAGAAAAGCCGATTAAGGCATTATCAGGGGGAGTACTGTGATCTCTGTGAAAGATAATCAAGATCTGTAAGTGTTACATTTATAAATTGCTTTGCATATACTGTATCTGATGTTAGGTCCATTTTATGCAAACACTCAATGTTAAGAGATATGTTTGGTGGTGAAAAAATATAGAAGTAGGCTTAGAAAATACAGTAACGCACTTCAAGGTAACGCCAATATATAGCCTAGCCTTTTTCAACCAGGGGGCTCAGGCACCCTGGGCACCTTCAGGTTTCTTCTGGGTTGCCTTGGCAAAATGCCTAAAAATTGCCCAAAAATTGTATACATGCCAGCAGGTGGATCAAGCCCGGCTTTTAGTTACACAAAGCCACAGATTTTCAACCTTCCAGCCGTCTTCGTCCCAACAACCAAAGCTGTCATCGGTTGATAAGGAGGACATCGAGTGCCCGCACAGCATCCTTGTTTACCCTTCCCCATTCCTCTCCATCAACACTAGAGTCACATTAGAGGAGTGAGGGAGAGAAACTGAGGGAGAAGAGAAACATTGGAATACTAGTCAGTACAAGTGTTATAGGTGTATTTGCTTTGGAAGAATAAATCACATCTAACCTTGGGTGCCTTATGTGTAAGGATGTTGCTGCATTATGTAAAACTATTAGTTTATTTTTGTTTACATTTTAGATTGGGGTGCCTTGAGATTGTGCTGCATTTTAAAGGGTGCCTTGACTGAAAAAAGGTTAAGAAACACTGATATAGCCTGTGAGACCCAAACTGAGCTCCTATAGACATGGGAGAAAGATTTGTTCTGCACTTGGCAACTGTTTGGACAATGTATCCTGCAGCTAATGCCTATGCAGACCCACCAGAATTATCAGCCATTAATATCAGTCTGCATGAAAATCTTGTACACTCATATTTTGTTAAAAAGATTGTTCTTCAATGGCTGGCATTTACAAGCTACCCGGTCACATGCCCTCAACATAGAAAGAGTATCTTGCCAGGCTGTCCTCCCTGGCACAGTACCATGTCTCCATGTTGATGGGGACAAGAGTCTTATCCCCACATCCCTGGCCCAGTGGATGTTTGGGACCAGGGGCGGACTGACAACTCATGGGGCCCCTGTGCAATAGGGGATCATGGGGCCCCTGTGTCCTTGCCCAAACTCAAAAAAGCCTATGAAAAAGGTACCAGGGGCATCTCATGGGGCCCCCTACTGACCCCGGGCCCTCAGGCAGTGCCCGAGTTTACAAATGGTCAGTCCGCCCCTGTTCGGGACTGTAGACCATAAATTATTGGAATGCGGAAGACTACTTGAATAAGGGGTACATAATACCCCTTGTTACTGATTCACCAAAAAAATGTACAATGTAAATAAATACACCGACACTGTTATAAATTAACCTCCCTGCCAAAAAAAAAGTCCCACAGTGTAACTCCATTGTCTGATCACGTTATCCAGTGATGTAGTTCCATCATGAACAACACCCCTCCGACCTGCCAACAAAAATTCAGCAATCTTGCTCCTGTTGGACTCTCACTGCTACTGATACCTCCCTGGAAGGCTGCTGAATGTAGCCATGCCAGCTGGTAATGCCACCTGACATCATTGACCAAATGTTGTCATATCAATATTTGGTCACTGACATCAACCAGGATTGCCTGGCCTGCTTGTCTATATGTGAATCAAGCTGGTGAATTGGCCAGGAAGTTATTGACAGAACTCAAAGCTTATGCCTACTCAACACATAGAAGACCTAATGTTACACTGAAAAGACACAAAAATACAGGACAAACTGCATTTGGTATTGAGCGGTACAGACGTAGCATTTTACTTTAAAACCTGGTATTATCTTGTATTATACAGGACAGGTGTTAATTCTACATGCAACAGATCAATAGTTGAAAAAAAAAAACCTGATATCTGCTCATGTGTTAGGCTCTGTTCACATCTGAGTTAATTTGCTGGCAGAATTGGCGCGATTCTGCCTGCTTTTCCAAATCGTGTTAAAATCATGACAAAACACGTGACACGCATTTGGGTGCCATTCATTTTTAATGGCAGCCCAAACAAAGTGCAATTTTACAATGATTGCCACACTGCAAAGTGCTCGAAAATCACAACAAAATGCACACAAAAAAACATGCCTGGCTCAGTGCCGAAATCTGCTCTTTGATCATCTTTGGCACAACAAACATGCATAGGGCAGCCCATTCAAGTGAAATGGGCTGTCCTGTGTGTGACATAGAAATGCATGTAAATCACGTTAAAAAAAAAAAACCATGAGCAGGAATGTGAATGTGGTCTTAGTCTGTTTTCAACATCTACTCCAATTTTTTGCTTTCTATAAATTTAGAGATAGTTAACCCACAGCTGATTGTGTAAATAAATAGACAACTAGTGACAATTGTGACAATAGGCATGTAATCAACTGGCAATCATAACAATACAGGTATAACAAACTGGAAATGCTGGCAATACACAGGCAGTAGACAGGAAATTGCTACAAAATATGGACAACAAAGGATGATCCATGGACAACAAACAGGCATTTGTGACAGTATGTGGGCAAAAATGGGTAGTCATAGTGAGACAGGACAACAAATGGGCAATCATGACAATACAGTGGCATCAAATGATCCTCCTTCTACTTCACTTCTTCTCTGCACAATTGACCCACTATTCTGGGTTCAATTGATGACTTCAGTCAACTAATCAACTGAGGGGACGCCAGGTAGCCAAAAGACCTAGTATTCTTATTGATTAGCCTCTTTAGGTCAATTGTAAAGATTATCCTTTCTCAACCATTTTACCTCAGCTGAACCCATAAAATAATTTTCAGGTCTTGGAAAACCCTCACTAAAACCAATTCATTGGGGGGTTGATGGCAAAAATGCCTCTTGGATTGATGATCAGTAGGAGGAATGTAACCCTTACAGCGGTGGTCAGAAAGCAATGCTTTCAAACAGCTCAAGAAACTCCTAGCATCCTCTGGAGGAACTCTAGGGTTTCAGAGAACCCTGGATGAGAAGAGCTGCTATAGAATGTCAAGTATGGCCATTGCTGACCTACATCTTAAAAGGCCTGTTATCTGGTTGTCTCTGGTTATAACACATTCTGAGTCATTAATTCTCTACAAGAAAACAAATCAGGAGTTGAGAACGCACTATTATTTCACTTGCGTCATGCCTTTCTTAGATTGGCAAATAAGAAGCATTTACAGTATATTCATAAACACAAATGTACACACGTATAAAGAAAGCATCCTGCAAATTTCATTCGTGTCATCTGCTGTCGAAAATCTACAGTCTACTTGTCTAGAGAAGGGAACATGTGGAAATGGTCTGAGATGCTGCTAATTAGATTCACAGAGTCATCTTTTTTTTTTTTTAGTGGTCCTTAATCCCATCTGTACTTTGCAGTGTATCATTTTAGCAGTTTCTGCTGTGTCAGGGCACCTGTCATGCAAGCAGAGATAGCAATCAAATCCACAGCTTTGCTCCACTCTGCAACCTACTAATTTGATAACATTTGCTTATCACATTAGTACTGCTGGGACAATGTTCTGGAATAAAGCGACACATGTTACAGGAATCTCTCACTACTTTACATTTTAGCGATGTCCCTAAAGGCCAGCCAGGGAAAAAGGAACAAAATGAGCTGGGCAAATAAGAAGCGACTGCACATAATTATCTACTAAATGTTCAGCTTGACAAATGAACTGAGCGCCCAGAATGAGGATCTGGGACAGCAATAAGTGGGATCCAGCAAAAGTTAGAACAGTGGTTAGCATTGGTGTCTTACTCCAAAATGTTCTGAGTTTTTAGCCCTCCTGGACCATTTTGCTTGGTAGTT